AGCTTTTTTGCAGACACACACAGCCGTGTTGCATTTACTCCTTGCACATTTACAACATACCTGAAAATCATTTTCACATGTGTTAAACAGAGAATGTACGTATTCAGCTCCAAAATGTTTTCACTGTTCACTCTTCTTTTCCACGTGTTGACGCTTTATCCGACTACAACGTGACGTCATGCGCAAGCGCATTGAGTGGGAGTGAGGCTGGCCATTTATTTTTCAAGAAATTTTATGGAATTTAGTCGTTATATCGATTTGGGACATATTTTGTTTCATAACATTTTCTCATAGCTGTCATGGTTACAGAGATATCGCGGATGCAATTCCAGCGAGCGGCGCGCTGGGACTATTGCGCGGCGGCAACGCACTCCGGAGTCTTTTAAAAAAAAATGGTTGGACAGAGAAAAAAATGGTTGAAACAAAAGATGTTCATTACAAAAAAATACATCAGATTTTTTTTGACTTTTTCAATTATTCCAAGTAATTTTCGAGATATTCAACGTTTTATGGGCGATGACGGGACAAATTCGCATTGCGTTAATTATTAAACCGTGATTATTTCGTTAACTACTAGGAATAGACCAAAATGTCTAATAACTTAAAAGATGATNTTTTCAATGGGGATTTCCTAATTTTTTCCAAATTTCCAAATTTCCACCATACAAAATATAAGAGATAAACTGCTGTTAATCTCATACAAAATATCCATTTTGACGTCACTGAAGGAGTACAAGAGAAGGGCGGGGTGAGTGCGTGAATGCGAAGAGAGAATTTACCAATTCGATTTTTCATTCTAGATATCAATAATAATCAAAATCGACCAGTTCGAACTCATCATCATCGTTACTTTCGCTTCTTCCTCCTTCGTTTTCTTCTTCCTCTTCATCATCTGAATCATATCTGTAGATATTTTTCCTCTGAACAGGCCGAATTTCTTGATCCGCGTCACTTTCAACATCGGTTTCCTCCTCTGCCGGTTCATCTGAGTTTGTGACAGGTTGATTCAGACAATTATCATCATCAGTGCGGTATTTGCACAGTTTACTGCAATTTAGCCCAGCTTTTTTGCAGACACACACAGCCGTGTTGCATTTACTCCTTGCACATTTACAACATACCTGAAAATCATTTTCACATGTGTTAAACAGAGAATGTACGTATTCAGCTCCAAAATGTTTTCACTGTTCACTCTTCTTTTCCACGTGTTGACGCTTTATCCGACTACAACGTGACGTCATGCGCAAGCGCATTGAGTGGGAGTGAGGCTGGCCATTTATTTTTCAAGAAATTTTATGGAATTTAGTCGTTATATCGATTTGGGACATATTTTGTTTCATAACATTTTCTCATAGCTGTCATGGTTACAGAGATATCGCGGATGCAATTCCAGCGAGCGGCGCGCTGGGACTATTGCGCGGCGGCAACGCACTCCGGAGTCTTTTAAAAAAAAATGGTTGGACAGAGAAAAAAATGGTTGAAACAAAAGATGTTCATTACAAAAAAATACATCAGATTTTTTTTGACTTTTTCAATTATTCCAAGTAATTTTCGAGATATTCAACGTTTTATGGGCGATGACGGGACAAATTCGCATTGCGTTAATTATTAAACCGTGATTATTTCGTTAACTACTAGGAATAGACCAAAATGTCTAATAACTTAAAAGATGATTCATGAAATTACCAATATCTTTTGTTTCAACTTTTTTTCTCTAGCTCCATTCGTTCAGCAACCAACTCTCTCTGTGAAATTCGCTCAACTCGTTACTCTGCTATTTGTTCGCTAAACAACGCGCAATCTAGCCAGAAAATCACACGGAAAAATAAACTCTCTGAAAATACGATCTTGACCCTCAGGAGTCTCAATGCAAACTGAGGGTGAATTCTTCAATTCCGTAGGATGAAAACAAAACTCAAAAATGAAAACATAGACAAGGCTATTGTGTACGAATTCGGAGACAACTGTGGCAATACCACATAACACTGCGAAGCTGTTGTACGACGTGTGGAGTTGAGGTGGACGTTCAATGCACTCATACTCTGATTTGCGCCAAGAATATTTTCTGAACGGACGGAGCTAGAGAAAAAAAGTCGCAACAAAAGATATTGGTAATTTTATGACTTATCATTTGAGTTGTTAGACATTTTGGTCTATTCCTAGTACTGAACGAGATAATCATGGTTTAATGATCAACGCAATGCGAATTTGTTCCGTCATCGCCCATAAAACTTTGAATATCTCGAAAATTACTTGGAATAATTGAAAAAGTCAAAAAACTGATCTGATGTATTTTTTTTTAATGAACATCTTTTGTTTCAACCATTTTTTTCTCCGTCCAACCATTTTTCTTAAAAAGACTCCGGAGCGCGTTGCCGCCGCGCAATAGTGCCAGCGCGCCACTCGCTGGACTTGCATCCGCGATATCTCTGCAACCACGACAGCTATGAGAAAATGTTATAAAACAATGTTCGAAATGCAGCTTACATCTCCATATTGGTCACGGTCAACTATCTCGGCCATCTCCGAAAATCTCCGTGATCCTTCGAGTCAACGGACACAGGTTAGCGCGGCACCCGGAAGAGTCAGTCACATCAGTTGTGTTTCGGCNTTAAAAAGACTCCGGAGCGCGTTGCCGCCGCGCAATAGTGCCAGCGCGCCACTCGCTGGACTTGCATCCGCGATATCTCTGCAACCACGACAGCTATGAGAAAATGTTATAAAACAATGTTCGAAATGCAGCTTACATCTCCATATTGGTCACGGTCAACTATCTCGGCCATCTCCGAAAATCTCCGTGATCCTTCGAGTCAACGGACACAGGTTAGCGCGGCACCCGGAAGAGTCAGTCACATCAGTTGTGTTTCGGCATCGTCACGATAATGATAGAGTAGAGTCAGTTATTCATCAGTATTCCAAATTTAATATCTTGTTCAGTACATCAACTTGTTGATTAATTTCAGTCTAAATTCAGTGACTCAACGAATTAACAGTGAAAGACAATTATCCGTATAACTAGACATTCAACAATTAAAATACCAAAGAGTGTAAAAATACTTGACAAGTGGTTCGATCCCACAGAAATATAGTGTGATTTTTTTTAATCCGGCTAAAATAATTTTCCCAACATCTCCTTCCACATTTTCATCCCACATCCACCCTAACCCTAGACATTCACCAAACAGTGGTCCTTCGAGCCGGATAGTGGGTGAAAACGTATGTAAAGTGCTGTGGAAAATTGAAGGGACGCCTCGTGTCGAACAAACTTTCGGGGTTCACACGGGAAAATCAACGGACAGTTCTAGAACATTCGCTTTGTTTACACCCGCAAGGGCGACGGGGTAACAAAGGACATAGTGAGTGTATCAGTGTCGGAAATCGGGAAATCTCGGGAGTGACGAGTGTCGTCGAAGCCCACCAACACTTGGCCACGTGCGCCACGCAACAGGCGACTCACCAAAGTTCGGCAGTCGGTAACTCACCCAACTCTCAACAGCTGATAACTCACGTAAACCGACAACTGAGCACGGACAATCACCATTGCAGACGACACTAAGGTCAACGAACCCAAAGAAGCAACTCAACAACCAGAGAGCGATAGTGGGGGAATCGTGCAAGTCACACAAAAGAAGGGACTGCCAGCAAAAAATGAGGCAGTTATAACTAAGCCAATCACCACTCCTGAGGAGATCAACAGTCCAAGTGGATCGTCAGGATCAAAAGAGCCCGCTCAACAAAAGTCAACGCCTGCAGCTTCAAAATTAGCACTCACCATGCAGCAGGAAAGTCAATTAAGATTATTAACATTCAAAGTAGAGACTCTCATGGAGATCTATCATGACCTCCCGCAGGACGTTGAAAACGAAGAGGACCTCACCCTAGAGGAGTTAGACGGGCACAAAGGGATAATCGAGGCAGAATGGAACGAATATTTTCAAATTTATGCCAATCTAGCCGAGTTTCTTCCCCCTGATCATGAGTATGTCAACGAAATGATACATGAACGAGCCACCAGGACAAGACGACAAGCCCTGATGCTCATTGCTCGGTTAAAGGGTCAACTGGCAAGGAAGAAGGATTCAATTAGCAGCTCAACGGATCAAAGCCAGGCAAATCAGCTAAAGCGTCTTGACATCAAGCCATTCGATGGGAAACCGGAGGAATGGAAGGAGTTCAGTGACCTTTTCTTGTCACTGGTGGGAAACGTAACGTCAATTCCACTAGTACAGAAATTGGTGAGACTAAAAGGATGCCTGAGAGGTCCTGCAGCAGCTCTCCTCTCAACATTTCAGGCTAAGGACAAAAACTATGAAAAGGCTTGGCAGAAACTCACCAGGAAGTACGAGGACCCTAGACTCGTCGCTCAGTCGCTGTTTAACAGAATCCTGACGCTGCCGAAAATCACCCAAGCGACAGAAGAGAACCTCAGCGCCAAAGGAGCAGCAGCATTGGAGACCCTCGATCAACTGCAAGACGTGACGGGGTTAACGACGGAGAACATCGCTGAACAGCTGATAGCCTACTTGCTGAGGAGATCTCTTGATGCAGAGACACTCAAGCAGTGGGAACTAAAGCTGGGAGACTCCAAGGATTTCCCGAGCCTTAAGGAGTTCGTGGCATTCATCGAGGCCTGCGGCAGAGGGATCAACGCAGGTGCAAAACTGTTATCAACGAAGGAAATCAACACAGCTACGAAGAAGTCAGTTCCACCAAAGAAAAGGAGCACCTATACAGCAGCAACTCACCAGCAGGAAAATAAGGAGCCAGAAAGGCTACTCCTCAGGAACTGCTGTGCCTACTGTCAGGACAAGCATTTCATCGCATCTTGCCAGAGATTCATTGAGCTCACCCCAGCTAAGAGAAACGACGTCGTTATCACCAAGGGGCTGTGCTTCAACTGCTTAGGGCCACACACGAAGGCCAAGTGCACGTCGGACAAGAAGTGCCATTAATGCAGCAGGTACCACCACACTCTCATCCATGGAGGGAGCTCATGGACGATGAGCCCGCCTCCAGCACGACGCACTGCAGCTGAGCCCGTCCACACCGCCGGAACGTCCAGGCAGCAAGAGGATCACGGGAACAGTGAGTGAATGAATTCAACCTCAATAGCACACTCACCATCTCATTGATCATTCCTCAACATTAGAATCCAGTACATCACCACCAGTAGCAGTAAACTTCAACAACAAAATGATCAATGAGAAACCAACTTTCTTAACATTTCAGCAGTGTAGCCCCATCTGGGAATAATATTCAAAGATTTAGCCACATAAACAAGTGTTCGTACAAGATTTGAGGTGTGTGTGCGACGCATGCGCTGAAGACACACATAGACCAATTTCATTTTGCAATAAAGTCACTCCTCAACACAATTCACTTGAATTAGTTGAGACAAAGGTAAATACAGTCAATTTAAATAAAAAAAGAATGTTGCTACATGAGTTTATAGTCATTTGTGATAATTATAATAACCTAATTCAATTCTTAATGAAACATGGAGTAATTAAAGATATTATGGAGTGCCCCACGTGTCAGACACAATTGAGGTTAGACCTTAACAGTCTTAACTTTCGTTGTAGAAGATCTATTCCATTAAGTGAGGGTCAACTTCTGCAAGAAAAATGTAATACAAAAATTAAGGTATTTAGTAACACCATTTTTAATAACTCAAAGGTGAAGCTCCAGACATATTGTCGTTTCATAGGTTATAAACTCTGCATAAATCCTACAAAAAACTTCATCGAGCAGCAATTAACATTAACTTAAAAAACAGTGGTGAAAATGAATAAGTGTTTCAGAAACCTATGTAAGTTAAGTCTGGCTGGTAAATTCAGAAGAGTTGGAGGAATTGGTAAGGTAGTGGAGTGTGACGAAACACGTTTTGGGCCTGGTGAGAGTTCCGCCAATGCAGAGCTGGGTTACTGGGTGTTTGGAGGAATCGACCGCTCAACAGGAGAGATTTTTGCTGAAGTGGTAGTGGACAGAACAGCTGGGACATTAGCAGAACTTATAAAAAAAAATGTACTCGAAGGCACCATCGTTTGTACAGACCGATGGAGGGCTTATAATGCCATACAGAAAGAGGGTTATCCTCATCAAACCGTTAACCACAAGTACCACTGTGTTGACCCTGAAGATGGAACGCATACACATAACATAGAACGTCTATGGTCAGCAATGAAATCTTACATCCCAATCAAAGGAGGAGTGAAAGAACACTTTGGTGAATACTTTGCTGAATTTTTCTATGTCAGAGAACATCACTATGAGACAAGAACACCAGATTTCTTCAAAGGCCTCAAGGACATCAACACAGAAGACTTTCCATGAAACCCAGCTTTCCAAGAACAATCCAACCAGACAAACTTAAAGAGCCCACTCCAGGTGGATGAAATAATTTCTCAAACAATTTTCAAAAAAATAATTTATAAAAAAAATAAAAATATAATTTAAAGAGATTGAGTCCGGAGATAAAAAAATAAAATAACCTCAATAAGAAAGACCAAAATGAAATCGCAATGGTGCTCTCGCCCTCGATATACAAGTTTTCAATGGTTTTATGGAAAAAGTTGAGATGATAAATTCCTAAATTTAATTTTGCCCTTTGAAGGTGGGGTGTGGGAGGATAATACACTTGATTTACATAATACCCAATTGATGTTAAAAAAAAAAAACAAAAAAAAAACTTCCTAAATAATAATTACAAGTTTAGGCCAACTCCAACATGGGATAAAAAACAACCAAAAAATGAGGTTTAGGGAACAATACAAAAATGCGGATTGGAGGCAAAAAGATGCACCAACCACATACATTTTTGGGACCGGAACCTCTACCACGTCCACGTCGTGGTCCTGGAAGCATGTCTGAGTGTAGAGGGGCGCGAAAGATTAGCCATTGTACTCAATTTTGGTTGTGGCCCCTGTTCTCCATTGGAACCAGAACGTCAACCACGAAAATCACCAAGGAGAAGCAGATCAACAGTCAGTGCTGTTGGCAACAGCACGAGTAAAAGTCATATCACCGAGAGGATTCACGACAAAAGCCAGAGCACTCATCGACCAGGGTTCAGAGGTATCGTTTATCTCCGAACAATTAGTTAATCAACTGCATTTACAGAGAAGAGCATCAACAGTGGAGCTAGTGGGAATTAGTGGAATTAAATCAGGACACACTAGAGGAATAGTTTCAGTCATTCTACAAGCGAGCCATGGGACTTATCAACTGCAACTCAACGCCCACATTCTAAAGAAGCTCACCGCAATAATTCCGTCATTTTCATGCTCATCAGCGAGGATCGGCTCACTTCAGAATCTTCACCTAGCCGATCCCCATTATCTGAGGCCTGGACCAATCGCCATCATACTAGGGGCTGACAACTATGGGCGGATCATCATGGATGAAGTTGTCAAGTCAGAGCAATCGAGAGTAGTTGGCCAACGTACAGTATTCGGTTGGATACTATCCGGACCAATCGAATGCACAAATTGTTCAATAAAGGTATCTCTATCAGCTGTACGAGAATCTTCGAATGAACAACTTCTAGAGCTTCTCCAGAAATTTTGGGTCCAGGAAGGACTGCCAAACGAGAGATCATCAACATCAGAGCTTTCACCAGATGAGTACGAGTGCGAGATGCACTTTAGAGCAACTCATAGCAGAGACAACACCGGGCGATACATCGTGAGACTGCCCCTCAAAACTTCAGCAGCAGCGCTCGGAGAATCGAAATTCAAAGCAGCACGTCAACTCAAATCGATCGTGAGTCGACTCAACACAGATCAAGCATACTCCCAGTTGTACAGAGAGTTCATCAACAAGTACGCAGCACTGGGGCACATGAGAATAGCACCAGAGACTCCAGAACCCGTGCCAGCCTACTATCTTCCACATCACGGGGTATTGAGAGAGGAGGCCATCACAACGAAGCTGAGAGTCGTATTCAATGGCTCCAGCCCTAGTTCATCAGGTATGTCACTTAACGATATACTGTATTCTGGTGAAAAATTGGAGAACGATGCCATGGTTATCCTGACTTGGATGAGGAGGCACAGGCTCGTGTTTGGCACGGATATTGTCAAGATGTTCCGTCAGATACGAGTTCACCAAGATGACTGGGATCTTCAGAGAATCCTGTGGATCGACGAGAATCAACAACCAGTCACCTACCAGTTAACGACAGTCACCTATGGACTAAATTGTTCTCCATGGTTGTCGTTACGTGTTCTTTAACAACTAGCAGAAGATGAAGGGCACCGCTTCCCACCGGCAGTAGAGACACTCACCAGAGGTCGTTACGTTGACGACATTTACGGCGGTGCAGAGACAGAAGACGGTCTCAAGGAGATCGCAAGGCAACTACAAGGGTTTTGCCATGCAGGAGGCTTCTCTCTACAGAAGTGGAGCAGCAATTGTCCAGAGGCTCTGCATGAGTTGGGCCTATCAACGGAAGAAGAAATTATCTAGTTCGAGGAGTCAGTCACCAAGGTACTTGGATTGTGTTGGCATCAATCCACCGACACATTCCGGTACAAATCAAAGGATCTCAATACGACGACAATCACCAAGAGAGTAGTCTCTTCTGAAATAGCCCAGATCTTTGATCCACTGGGATTTATCGCACCAGTTGTCGTCCAGGGAAAGATTCTCCTACAAGACCTTTGGAGATTGAAATTAAAATGGGATGATCCTCTTCCAGACGAGTATATTCAACGCTGGAAGATATTCCGAGAGAATCTTAACGACCTAGACAGAGTAACTGTACCTAGATGGCTGAGAATTTCAACAGAGACACTCAACATCCAAATTCATGGATTTGCAGATGCTTCAACAGTAGCCATGAGTACAGTGGTGTATATTCGCACCAAAACCATCAACGACTCGACATCAACAGTGCTGGCATGCGCGAAGACGAAGGTAGCACCACTCAAGCGCATGACCATCCCTCGTCTAGAGCTCACAGCGGCTCTTCTACTGACTCAGCTAGTGGCATCAACGAAGCAAATGCTCCAACTCGACCAGGTAGATACCTATCTCTGGGCTGATTCTTCAGTAGCACTAGCTTGGATCAGGAGCCACGCATCAAGATGGAAGGACTTCGTCCACAACAGGGTCGTCAAGATCCAGGAAACTCTCCCGAATGCCACCTGGAGACATGTCAGTGGAAAGGAGAATCCAGCTGATTGTGCCTCCAGAGGCATATCACTGAGCCAGCTAGCAGATCATCAACTGTGGTGGTCAGGACCTGAATAGATCAATCAGGATCCTGAAGAATGGCCACAATCATCAATCGACGCTCCAGCCATCGACATCCCAGAGGTGGCCAGAGAAGCAAAACCAGCACCAGCACATCCAGTTGCAATTAAAATCAACGAAATCGCAGAGCTACTCAACAAGTATCAGACGATGGCTAAATTGCTAGCCGTAACAGCTACGGTCAACAGAGCTATCGACAGATTCAGGAGGCAGCCAATGCCCCCGGGACCTGTCTTGACGACAAGAGAACTCAACGACGCGAGGTTATTTTGGGTAAAGATAACCCTACATCAATACTTTGGGCCAGCCATTCGAGTACTCTAGAAAAATCACCAACTGCCGAGAAATCATCAACAAGCTAAGCTGACATCCACACTAGACAACGAAAGGATCATGAACTCCCAGCTAAATCCAGATGAAATTCACCCAATAATCTTGCCTCGCCAGTCACGCCTCACCACACTAGTCATCGAAGAAGCTCACCACAAAACACTCCACGGAGGAACTCAACTCACCTTGGCCTACACACGTCAAAGGTACTGGATAATCGGCGGCAGAGGCACAGTTAGAGCGTATATTCAACGCTGTGCCATCTGCACCAGACACCGAGGAAGACAGGCCCAGCAACCGATGGGTCCACTACCAGCAACGAGATTCCCACCAGCAAGAGCATTTCTCCACACAGGGGTGGACTATGCAGGACCATTCACCATCCTCAAATGGAGACCAACGAATGCACAATCAGGGTCAGTGCACATTGCAGTTTTTGTGTGCTTCACCACATCAGCAGTTCACCTAGAGCTAGTCACCAGACAGACAACTGACGCCTTCATCGGAGCCTACAAGAGATTCACCGGAAGACGTGGTATTCCAGCTGTCATGTACAGTGACAATTCCACTACCTTCGTAGGCGCAGCAGAGGTCCTAGACAAGATCTATCACCGAGCATCCAGAAAAAATCAGCAGGTTCAGGCTGCTCTCGCCACCAATGGGACTCAATGGAGCTTTTCACCACCACGAGCACCCCATTTTGGTGGCCAGTGGGAAGCAGCCGTGAAATCAACAAAGTATCACCTTAGAAGAGTCTTGGGGACAACAACACTCACATTTGAGGAACTCAACAGTGTCGTAATACAGATAGAGGCCTGCCTAAATTCCAGGCCAATCTGTCGCATGTCAGATGATCCAGACGATCTCCAAGTACTCACCCCAGGACACTTCTTGATAGGTGAGCCTCTTCAACTGATTCCAAAGCCATCAATCATCGACAAGAACCCCAGCAACCTGCAGAGATGGAACCTGGTAACGCAGCTAACTCAACAATTCTGGTTCAGGTGGGCCAAAGAGTGTCTTCAACGTTATCAAGCAATCTATAAGTGGACACATCGAGAAGAGAACATCAAGGTTGGCGACATGGTGCTGATGATCGACGAAAATTATCCATTAGCACAATGGCCAATCGGACGAGTCATTGCGATACGCCCAGGAGCAGATGGGCTAACGAAAGTCGCAACCATAAGAACCGCAAAAGCAGAAGTACCAAGGCAGGCAGATGGATCACCAATCATACAAAACATCAGAACAATCTACACAGAGCTTGACAGACCAATCACCAAGCTTTGCCTACTGCCATCAGATCCACCACCTCCAGATCAACCTCCAGATGATGATGCAGAAGAAGCTCAACAGGATTAGAATCACCATTAATTCATCATCCCTGATGATGGATTGCCCCCGGGGTGTCGGAAAAGAAGCTTAAATCTCCATATTGGTCACGGTCAACTAACTCGGCCATCTCCGAAAATCTCCGTGACCCTTCGGGTCAACGGACACAGGTTAGCGCGGCACCAATCAACTTGTTGATTAATTTCAGTCTAAATTCAGTGACTCAACGAATTAACAGTGAAAGACAATTATCCGTATAACTAGACATTCAATAATTAAAATACCAAAAAGTGTAAAAATACTTGACAAGTGGTTCGATCCCACAGAAATATAGTGTGATTTTTTTTAATCCGGTTAAAATAATTTTCCCAACATCTCCCTCCACATTTTCATCCCACATCCACCCTAACCCTAGACATTCACCAAACAAACAAAATATGTCTACTTTTTGATAAGGAACATTTTGTGTTTGAAACATTTTCCCCTACAGCCAACCGTTTCCATGATATTCCGTTTTAAACAATTAAATTGTTTTAAACGAAGAAACTGCCTACGATTTCGCACAAACGATCATCATATTCGTAATCAGCGACCTCGAAAACATAGAATCCAGTAATAAAATCTAATGGACATCTCAATGTACACAGAAGTACCCCTAGCGTATGGACTAACAATCTCCCTTCAAAAAATGAAAAAAAATGTCCTCAAAAGTTATGCTCAGATGATTCAGAATCACCTGAAACGTGGAGATTCACTCTCCCCTGGAGAGGTCATTATCAGATCTTTTGGCCCAAATTTGGAAAAAATTTGAAAATCCCCCTTGAAAAAATAAAAAAAAAATCCCCAAAAGTTATGCTCAGATGATTCAGAATCATTTGAAACGTGGAGATTCACTCTCCCTTGGGGAGGTCATTATACGACCTTTTGGCACAAATTGACTATACGGTGACGTCACGCGCAAGCGCTTTGAGTCGGAGAGAGGCTGGTGTGCATGCGAGCGGCGCCGATATATACTCATTGTGTTCTCTCTCGCACCAAGGGTTCTCAGTCAGAACTTACCTGGAGAGGTGGAAATAGAAAATCTCGTTCGACTTAATACCTGTCGGAGATAGCGGCAAATATTTCCTACAAAAACTGTCGGGAAAGTTATAATAAAAATTATGAAACGAAAAAAAAACATCAATTAACAAAATAGTTATACTCAATTTTAAGTTGTAATTACATGAAAATTGCTTCTCAATGGAGTGAAAACAATTAGAATTGAAGCTGGTACCTTTTTGAACGTTCAGCAAGACGAAAAAATTGAAAAAAGTTTTTTTTTCAATGTTTTTTTTTTTTAATTTTTCTCACCCCACATTTTCCAACAGCTCTGGGGGATGAACGATGCAGAATAGTGTTGAGAGCAACGCAGGTGTATCGAACCAATAAGTGTGTTGATGTCCGTGAACACTCACACACACAATAGATTCATACTCTGTAGTCAGTCAGTCGTGTTGAATAAATCCTGTAAGGCAGACGTGCCGATTGACGTTCATCCAATCGGTGTAATATCTCACACTCATTGCCTCATACCACTCGCTCATCCTATATAATCCCTTTTGACTGTGCTTAATTATCAACAAATAGAGGTGAAGTCGTTAAGATCTTTTTTGTAGAGAATTTCGCGCTCTACAACTTCGTTCTTTACCTTTTACATCGTAATTCGAGTATTTCTCGAGTTATTTTAGAAAAACACGTTTTTGGGGGTAATTTTCAATTTTTTCCACCCGTTCTTGGAGGGTGAGCACCGTGATTGGTCTCATATGTTGATTACAATAAAAAAACTGATTTATATACAAAAACGCACGCTGGCTTTCAAAACTACGCATTTCCAGACTTCATTCACTGGACTATAAGACTGAAACTGAGACGAAAAGACTGGGACTGATGTTACTGAAGCAGAGTTCAGTGAAGCTGAATAGTTTATTATATCACCAGAGCAACCAAGTTATGATATTCTTGCTCTGTATGACCCCATAAGAGCCCCATATGACCTTCATAAGACCCTCATATGACCCTCATACTGACTCTCATATGACCATCATATTGACTCTCGTATGACCCAGATACTGAACCTCATATGACCTACATATAACTCTCATCTGACCCTCATACTGACCCCTAAACTGATCTTCATATGACCCCCATATGGCCGTCATATGACTCTCATATAACTCTTCATATAACTCTCATATGACCCTCATACTGATACTCATACTAACCCTAATAATGACTCATACTGACACTCATACTGACCCTCAAACTGACACTCATACTGACCTTCATATGACCTCCATATAACTCTCATATGACCCTCATACTGATTTTCATATAACCCCCATATGACCCTCATACTGACCCTGATATGACTTCCATATAACTCTCCCCTGACCATCATACTAACCCTCATATGACCTCCATATAACTCTCATGTGACCCTCATACTGACCCTCATATGACCTCCCTATAACTCTCATCTGGCCCTCATATTGACCTTCATCTGACCTCCATATAGCTCTCATCTGACCCTCATATTGACCCTCATACTGGCACTCATACTGACCCTCATAATGACCCTCACACTGACCCTCATAATGACCGTCATGATGACCCTCATCTGACTCATATGACCCCCATATGACACTCATACTGACTCATATGGCCGTCATACTGACCTTCATATGACTCTCATATGACCTCCATATAACTCTCATCTGACTCTCATATTGACCCTCATACTGTCCCTAATATTGAGCCTCATACTGACACTCATGCTGACCCTCATACTGACCCTTAAACTGCCCTCCCTATGACCCCCATATGACCCTCATACTGACCTTCATATGACGTCCATACAACTGTCATGACCCTTACTGTCCGACTATTTTCTTACCCCCGTTCGTTAAATGAAAACCCTTTTTCTACACCCCCCCCNCCCCCCCCCCCCCTCATCCTCTCTACGCCCGATAAAACCCTCCCACGATTATCCACCCATGTATGCGTAAGCCGCACAAAAATTGAAACAAAAAGGAAAAATTCTCGAAAGAGAAAATAAAACCCCTTCACATTGCCACAAAATTAGCTCTAAATTTTTTAGCACCACAATTTTACCTACATGGACATCCCAGTCGGCAATTCATGCGCCAGCGGTCGGTAATGTAGGTATCAGTTGCAGGCGGCCATGATAAGTGATGTGTAACTGTGTGTGTAACAACTATTTGCATTCTTATTGTTCATCGAAAAAAGCTTTTTTAGATTCGGTTTCCGTTTCAAATTGTGTCAAAGTGCTAAACATTAATATCCTGAAGGTTTATTAATGCGTGGAAACCTGAAAAATAATTTTTTTAGCGAAAAAATAAATCAGCCAAGGAACAGCCATGGAACAGCCATGCAATAACATGGCTCCTCAATCGCCAGGGCTCCTGGACTACTCTGCGGTACCAAGTGCTGGAGTACATGATCAAACTGTTCGTTTAAACACAGGTTCCCTTGTTAAATCACAGAAGTACCAATTTAGTATAATCAACTATTGTGACATGTTCGACCTAGCCTGACGAATCAATCAAAGTCAGTGAGCCCTAATAAGGAAAAATGATGCAGAAATCATACAACCACAGCACCAATGATGATGCCTGGAAAGCTGTTCGACAACATTGACCTACAGCTTCAATCGAGTAATACTTCGACTGATAGTCCAGTTCTGCAAATATTCAGTGAGCACTCGGCAGATGTGTCATACGCAGACTGTGTCTTGCGTAGACTGGAGAATAGAATTGTTGACAAAATTTGAACAGGTAAAAATAATTGCTGATTTTCATTCTGCTGGAATAGAAACGTCATCAATCTCATTGAATATGGTTAAAGGCCTGAATATGGTTAATCACTGTAGGCCTGAATTGATTTTATTTCATCATCCTTGATTCATTCGTTTCATCATCACATGGACTATTGTAAATAGAAATTATTAGCATTTATTAGAATGGAGTCTTGTCAGTTCCAACTGCGATTATAGTTCATGTGAGTGTTGGAATAGAAAGATTTTAGGAGGCCCGATTCTTCAAATCATATTGTAGAAGTGAAGAACATACGAAGGCAGCTGTTTCGATATAATAATAATGAGAAGATCTTCACATATTCACATAATATTTCGAGTTTGTCGCTTTCGAATGACGATTTCTCTCTGTTTTCCGATTTTCGTCTGGATTCAATAGCCACATTATGATGCTGATTCATGAACTGAGCAACGAATAAATGTGTGACTATGAGCTAATTCATCGACGTCTGCAATGAAGAACCCAACGTAACCTGTCTAAATTGTCTTGGAGAATGTTCACCATGGAATGTTTACTTGTTTTATCGATGAGTAGGATGAGGGATTTCGTTGAGGGAATGATCGACAAACAACAAGACCAACTCAAGTATCCTGAACCGATCGATAGTCTGTGCTCCTGAGTATTTCCAGAACCGTATGCTTCTGACCGTTTTAATTATGTTTTGAATTATTATATCAGTATTTATACTGAGGAACTTTTCGATATAGAAAAGTAATTCGTTCGATTTCATGATCCATGTCCAACGAGACCAACTCAAGTCTCCTGAACTGATGGATAGCTTGCGTTCCTGAGTGCTTGCAGAACAGCATGCGTCTGAATGTTTTAATTACGTTTGTAATTATTATACCAGTATTTTTATTGGGGAACTTTTCGATACAGAAAAGGAAATTGCTTGATTTCACATCAAACTTGATGAAAAACTGACTAATTTAGCATAGGTTGAATAACTTATTTTCTTTGCATGCTTTTGACTTGTTTGAACACTAAGAATTGATTAGTCATATATTTACATATTAGTGATAACACTGATTATACTTTCCCCTAAAAAGATTCATTGCCTTCGATAGTGCATGAAAATGGAGAAAAACTCTAAGCTATACCTCACATTAGATTTTTCCAGTTAATCGATTAATTAGATTTATCTGTTCAAAGTCTGGG